AGTTGGTCAATGTCGTGGTATATTTCAGTTCCTCAAAATAGCAACACACCAACAATTCGCCTTAACACACCACCTTTTCAGACTAGTACACCCATGAGTCCACAAGGTGGCGCAAATGGATTTGCCATTTAAACAACAAGGAGCAAAACATGACAATTAGGGTTGCACTGATCTGAAAATAGCAACAAATCGTGCCATACACATCTTGCATCTTGTTGCGCCGGGTGCATGATAATGTATTGACTTTCAAAGTAAAAAATGCTACCTACTATGAAAGTTAATGGGTGTCAATAACCAACATTCTTCACAATATCTTTTATTTTCAAGAGAAGAAAGAAACTCAAATATATAGGGGAATAAATGATTATGGTAATTTTCATTTTTGGGTGAACTGTCCCTTTAGGGATTTATTTTAATTGTGTTTATTTTACTGAGCTTAACTAATCCTTAATGGTGACTCTCATGGCATTATTACTTAATTTAAAATGGATTTTATAAACTCGTAACACTGACATGAAACATAAGCACTTGAGAAATTGATCACATTTCTTACATTACAGTAATGTGTTTGATATTTATTGGCATTACTGAGGGAATTAATCCTTAACTGCAACTAAATAGTTTAAAAATCTATTTATCATGTCTTTTTAATTGATTTTATGATTAAAACTGACGCTAGCGTGTGCTTTAAATGCTTAATGAGATTCACCATCCCATTCACTTCTAATCAGAACACATATGAGAGACATTTCAGATGCCAAACGCTGCCGTAACCCTCTATAAACACGTTTCTGTTACTAGTAAGCATTAGTTAAACTTCTACAGCTTGTCAGTAATTAAGCTTGACAGAATGAAAAGGATCTGAAATTATTGCTGACAGTCAATTCACTGGAGCTTTCAAGGACGTTTCGGCATTAAACGGCGACCCTCCACAGCACGGCATTCTGGGTAAACAATTCTTGCTTTGTTCAAGTGCACTTTTGTTCAGTTTTTCCACGGTTCAATGGATGATTGTAGCAGATTTGCTCGCAATGTTAGGATCATTCAGATCTCCGCCAGCAGCTTTAAATGATCAGATCTCAGTCTCTCTAAGGCTTCAGTTTGTCTACATTCATTAGCTAAATGAAAAATAAAACAAATGTGTGTGTGTTTTGTGTGGACTGTGTAATGTGAAAAGCGTAGTATGTTGTTTATTCTCCGCATATAAGGGCGTAAAAATCTTCTCAATATTTAGTACATTAGCATGTTCGCACAATTAGCAAATAAAAAATTGATGGACTTTAATGAAGCTTCATAAAGATAAAAATATAATTTTTTAAAGGCATAGTTCATGCAAAAATATCAATTTCTTACTATTTGTTCTTTCTTTAATTGATTCCAAACCTTCTGTTGAACACTAAAGGAGATATTTTGAAGAATGCTGAAAACCTGTTACCATCGACTCCCATAGTCAGAAAAACAAATACTGTAAAAGTCAATGGTTACAGGTTTTCAGCATTCTTCAAAATATCTTCTTTTGTGCTCAAAAGAAGACATTCATAAACATTTGAAACGAATAAAAGACGAATAAGTGATGACTTAATTTTTTTTCAAATTTTTGTGTGAACTATCCCTTTAAAAACTAAACAAAAACTAATTGTATAAAATCTTTAAAAACGATTCGTTGATACACAAAATATTATGCACTGAAATCTGTCGATCTACGATTTAATTTTTGCAGTGTGACGCAGTTTAAATTGTTGTAAAATGCTGTGTTTTGAGTCATGTTGGAATTACCGTAATGATAAAATTAAAGATTAATTAAATGTTGAGCTGTTTGTTTCATCTCAATAGTTTGCCAGGAGGATAGTGTTGCTAACTTTTGTCCTTTGTAAATTTATTGAGAGTGTAGGGAGCTGTTTCTATCCAAAGATGCGAATCAGAATTATGGGCAAAACTGGAATATCGCATCAAACAGTGTTTCTCAACCATGTTCCTGGTGGACCACCAGCATTGCATGTTTTGGATGTCTCCTTTGTCTGCTGTACCCATTACAGGTCTTTCCATCTCTGCTAATGAGCTGATGATCTGAATCATGCGTGTTTGGTTAAGGAGACATGGAAAATGTGCAGAGCTGGTGGCCCACCAGGAACGTGGCTGAGAAACACTGGCATAAAAGACATGTGAATAAAGCAGCGTTTCTATCCAACGAGTCAAAGAGAACAAAATAGCCACTTCCTGATTAACTGGTGCCAAATATCAACAGTAAAAATAGAATTTATTGCAGTAGGAGAAGCTGCGTCAATCTTTTGTTCATTTAATAAATGACTTGCGCCTCAGAAGACAATGCTGACACGCAATGAATGCATGGTGGCATTTAAAGGCATGAGACGCAAAGCACAGATGCTTTTGACTATTCTTGAGGTCATTAATAATATAATAACAGTAATACTGGCATTTTAGAATGTAAGACATCATTTGCTGTGCTTCATAGCAGTCGCCGGGGCCAATATCTCTTTTGGTCATTCTTATTGGCGGACTTTTCTGTACAGCATCATTGGTAATGTAGTTTGTCTGCAAATTTGGCTGTTAAAAGCACATTGGAATAATGTGAACAGAAGGGTTCATTAGATGCATATAAACATCAACAAGCTCACAATACCCTCATGTACTGTTAAATTAATGGAGATTTTAGGTATGCAATATGCAATCTCTGTTACAAAATCAGTCTGCGCACATACAGTATGCTGATAAAATTCATCACTTACTACACAGAGTTTAAATCAGAGATAACCAAACTATGGCCCGCATGCTAAAATTGGCCCATGGTAACATTTGATTTGGCCCACCATCACTTCTGAGAAGAGAGGGAGAATGATGGGGATGGTTTAGAGATTGTAAATCCAAATATAATCCTTTGTTTGTTTTATTGTTAAAAGTAACTAAAATTGAATGTTTCAATTAAATGTTGTAAATTAATCAGATTTTCTTTACATGTACATATTGTAACCTGACAATGCAGAGACTTTGGTGAGTGAATCAAGGTAAAGGCGGATTCTGCTTGACTAGCGTATTTATCATTGAACTCCACTGTGGTATAAATGTGAGTGTTTGTTTTATTGCAATGAGTTATAATTTAAAAAGTTATACTGCATTAGTTAATATGATTTAAAGCAGTGGTTTTCAAACCTTTTTCATCAAGTATCACCTCAGAAAAAAATGTACCACCATAATGAGTAGTGTTGAAATACAGTAGCGTATAGGGCTGATAAAGCAGCTACAGCTCTGCACAGTTCAAAAACATGGCAAATTAATTCCTAATATTAAGAAGATTTATTGTTGTCAGTCACTTTATACATTAGAAATAGTCTGAACAATAACACTGTGCTTATATGTAAAAAACAAAATAAATAAAAAAACAAAAAATCTTAACATTTAAATTAAAATGAGCTTTTAAAAGTTAAAAATGCTAGGTTACTGTTCTAAAAAGAAAAAAAAACTGCTGTAATTTAAATGTAAAGTATTTACATATAACAGCCAATTCATCAACACCTGGACCTTAGAAATATACACTGTATGTCATCATATTCATATATAATTCATGTTTGATACATTTTGAAATATATGCAGCATATACATATGACATAATTGATTCCTCCGCATATCACTAGAAGGAAACCTGCATACCACTAGTGGTACACGTACCACAGTTTGAGAACCACTGATTTAAAGTAATGTTTTCTATTTATTTTAAAATATTATTAAATAAATAAAGAAAATTACCCATGGCAACTTTAATGTAATATATGTTGGTATATTTACCTTCGGCTCAGGGGTCTCAATAATATTTGGTTTTTGGCCCTTTATACTAAAAAGTTTGCGCACCCCTAGACAAGTATATGCATAAATTAACCTAAATACATCAGGTCTTAAAAATGGTTCTTTTCTGATGTATACTGCATGCCTACAGTGCACTTGATGTAAATTGCGTCATCTGCATAGTTGCAAATTGGTGAAATTAATTGGTAAAAATTTACTAGCAATATTGGTGCGAAAATTTCTCTAAATGTTAAGCCTGATTTTTCTAACTTACTCAGCATAATAGGAGTAAAAATAGCATGATTTTTAAAGATTGAAAATTATTATTGCAGTCATCGGATTTAAATTCAGAATTACCTGTGAAATTTACAAAGTTTGAAAATTATTTTTGTATAATTCCTACAGTATGTGCGCAACATGATTTTATTAGATTTTTTTCAGTATTAAGTTGTTATAGAAGAAAAGCAACAACAAACTACTGAAAAAAGCAAAAAATAGAGAAGATTTGGCCTGCTTTTTATGTCACCATGGATCATGCACAGCATTACTGAATAGAGTAACATCCTTAACCACTAAAATAATTCACGATACACTCTCAAAATATAGCCAAAATCAAATAAAATAATATTTTGAAAGTTATTTTTGTATGTGACGACACAAGATGAGAGAATGTATAGTTTCTATTGGTAATTTAGAATATGACCATTTCTTCATTACGGTAATTTAGACCCAATAACAGCATCATACTCCACGTTTAATGAAGCAACGCATAAGGGAGGAGAGGAATCAAATCAAAGAGCCATTATATATATATATATATATATATATATATATATGTAGATCCAGCCCCATATCGCCCACATGAGATATGCTTGGCACATGATCATCCACTTTCGGGTCATCTGGGTGTAAGGAAAACTTACAATCGGATTTTAAAACACTTTTTCTGGCCTGGATTAAAAAGTGATGTAACTCGTTATTG